TGGGAACTCTGGTGGCATAGTGCCTAAGGCATTTGACTGCTAACCAGAAGGCTGGTGGTTCAAACCCACAGCCACACCTGAGAAGAAAGACTGGGCAATCTACTTCTGTAGAGATACCACCCCGGAAACCCAAGGAGGGGTCACTTTGAGTCGGAATCTACTCGACAGCAGTGAGTTAGACCCATTAGGTACTAGTAGTACACCCTGCCCCCTCCACCCCTTGCCCAGAGTTGTGACAACCAAAAATATTTCCAGACTTTGTCAAATGTCCCTGGGGGGAGAGGAAAGGCAAAATCACCCGATAAAGAAGCACACTTTCTAACAACCTTGAAAAAGGAATCAGTGGGTGATCTCCCAATCCTTCGTTATAGATTAAAGCTCCCATCTAGCCTTCTAACTGTTGCTGGAATGTTACTTCTCCCAGAAGCCTTCTCTTTTTTCTCCAGGCAAAATTCTTCCTTCCTGCTCCCAACACATCCCATTTAATTTTCTATCATGGCACTTACAATGGAGCTTAATTCCATTTGTGGACTTGCCCCACTATACTATCACCACCTCTCACATTACTTTTGCTGCTTTTGTCACCATCTTCATCACCATTATTATCAACACTTACCAAAAATTGAGTTTTTCCTATGTGTCTGCCACTGAATTAGCTGTTTTACATGTATTATCTCTTCTATAAACAACCCTAAAGGTATTAATAAATCCATTGTATAGGTGAGGAAACTGGAACTCAAGGAGGTTAAGTGACATTATCAAACCCATTGTCATCAAGTTGATTCTGACTCATAATGACCCTATATAGGACAGAGTTTCCATAGAGCGCCATAGAATTTCCCAGGCTTTAATCTTTATGGAAGCAGATGGCCACATCTTTCTCCTGCAGAACGGTTGGTGGGTTCAAACCAACAACCTTTTGGTTAGTAGCTGAGCACTTTAACTTCTCAATGGCCTTATCACATTGCTGTAATTATTTCAGATCCATCTCCGGCACGGGAGATTTTGAACAAGCGAAGTATCTGTTATTATCCTCTTTGTAGTACTCTTACCTAGCAAGATGCCTAGAATTAAGTGAAAACCAAGCCAAACCTGTTGCCATCAAGTCAACTCCAACTCATAATAATAATTCTATGGGACAGAGTAGAGCTGTTCCAGAGATTTGCAAAAGCTGTAACTTTTATGAAAGCAGATTGCCACATCTTTCTCACGTGGAGTGGTTCGTGGGTTTAAACTGTGGACCTTTCAGTTAGCAGCCAAGTTCTTGACCGTGGCACCGCCAGGGCCCCTAGAATTAAGTGAGTACTTAGTAAATAATGAGTTCAGCAATCAGGCACTGTCCTAGGTATCTGGAGGTGTGTGGAAACAAGGCAGGAGTGCTTCTCATGCAGCAGAGGAGTTACCCTCCAGAGGGTATTCCGGTGGAAAGGACTATGACGGGCTCTGACAGTGCTCTGCCCAGGTGGGGAGAATCAGGTCAGCTAGGGCTGCCGGGAGAAGGTCACACCTGAGCTAGAGAGTGTTCCTGGCAGAGCCAAGAGCCTAAAAAATTCCTAAGAGCCTCCTAAAGCAGCTGGGTGTAGCTGTACTTTGCAGTGACAGAAAGGAAGGGGGAGGATGTCAGACAGGACATGAGCGGGATCACTGTCTCGGGTCTTGCATGACACATGAAGCACTTCACCTTCTCCTGAATATGACCAGAGCCATTGAGAGTTTTAGCACACAGGTGCCAGTTTCCCCATTTGGAGTTTGTATGGCCTATAGATGTGAGGAAGGAGCTCTGGTGGCCCAGTGCCTAAGGCATTTGACTACTAACCAGAAGACTGGCAGTTCAAACCCACCAGCCAGTCCATAGAAGGAAGACCAGGCAATCTCCTTCTGTAAAGATTTACCACCTTGGAAACCCAATGGGAGTCACCAGGAGTCAGAATTGACTCAATGGCAGTGAATTTGGTTTGGTTTTTTTCCTATAGCTGTGAGGAGACATAAAACCAGGGGCAGAATGATCAGTTAGGAGGTCATGGCAGCAACCCAGGCAGGCAAGGGGTGATGAGACCTGAAACATCTGTTGAGCGATATCTCTTTGTTGAAAATATCACTTTGCCATCCGACCATATTTAGAGATATAACTAGATTAATGGCTATGTACTTATTCTTTGGAATGCTCTCCTAATGAGTCATACCTGTGGTATGACCACAGCAACACTGGGAAGTAGTCACAGCACGTGGTCATCTCCCTACATCTCTCCCTCTGAACTATTCTTCCCTGTGTTGTATTTGCTGTCTCACCTGTCTCCAGGATCCTGGGGAAGGTCGTTTTCCTAAGCACCTTATCCATTTCAGCCAGCTGTCAGCTCATCTTTGGTAGAAGTAGTGGTGTGCTGGAGCCAGAATTTACTGATGCACAAGAGGTGTGGGATGAGAATAACATTTTCAAGAATTTTGCAAGCTGGCAGGCATCAAATTGGTAGTCTGTAACTGGCCGTGGTGGGAGTATTTATACCACTAAAATAGGCAAACATTATAAATCAGGGCCCCATCGCAAGGCCGTGTAAATATATATAACACATCACCACTAGGTAGAGTAGTAGCTGAATCCAGAGAAGACATTATCCAGCCCAGGAAGTATTTGTATTAAATAAGAGTTTTTTAAGACTAGAGAGTGTGTATCTGTGTATTAGTGTGAATCTAAGCTCCAGGAGGATAGGAGCTTGTTTCACTGCTGTATCCCACGTCTAGAACACAGATTAGCACAGAGAAGAAGCTTATAAGCATGTGTTTTTGTCATTTAAAGGGAATTTATTATGCTTCAAAGACCCAAGAGGATAACTGTCCAAAGTTGAGGGAGGTGAGGTAGAGTTTGAGGACACAGGGGCAGAGAATAACTTCTAGGCAATAGCTATTCCACTTTGCTAGAGCACAGATCATTTTCCTCCCCCAAATCTAGTATTTAACATAAAACACAAATGAATCCAGCAATGGTGCCAGGGCTTTGCCCATCTGGCATGGCCTTTGTCCTTCAGCAGTAACTATACCAAGATGGTACATGAGCAGATCCCAAAATATGTGATATGCAAAATAAATGCTAAGGGCTTTCTGAGAAGCAGTGTTGGGAAGAAGATTGGGAGTGGGAGGTTCTCCCCAGAGGATTAGAACTAGAACTGGACAGAAAAAAAAAAAATCAGAGGTGTATTATAGATGACACTAGGTTCTGTAAATACAGTGACCAGTGTGGAGATTCCTATCAACATCCTCAGGGGGGAAAAAGAACTGTTGCCATCAAATTCGCTCTGGCTCATGACAATGCCATGTGTTTCAGAGCAGAACTGTGCCTCCTAAGGTTTTCAATGACTGATTTGGGGGAAGTAGATCACCAGGACTTTCTTCCAAGGTGCCTCTGGGTGGACTTGAACTGGCAACTTTTGGGTTAGTAGCCGAGCGTTTTAACTTTTTGCATCACCCAGGGACTTCCAATATCCAAAAGTGCCTCCCATACTAGGACTTTTTCCATTTTGTAGTGCCTAAAGGCACTTGACTGCTAACCAGAAGGCTGGCGGTTCAAACCCACCAGCCACTCCTTGGAAGGAAGGTTGGGCAATC